ACTGATTCCCTGACTTACAGATTTTGGTCTTCACATTTCTAAGACACAGTGATTTCCTCATTATAACAAATTAAATCAGATGCAAATCTGAAATTCTAATGCTAGAAACTCTATGCATGTTTTCAGATGTACAAATAATGTGGGCTCCCAAGGCAGCAAGCAAGTTTGAAACTAAGGGGAGGAAATCCTTTTATGTTTTTTAATATTTCCCTAAGTGGTAACAAATTAGTAGCCAAGTATCTCTCTTTGGGTGATGTGGGTTAGTGTTTCCAAGACCGGGAAAATAAACTTAACTTCTAATGTGTGATAAATTCTCGCCTGGGAGTGAGGCAGAATAGAATAAAGACATAAATTTACTTTGAAGTAAGAAATTTTATGGACTGGTTTCTCCACGTGTTTCTTTTGCAGTGAACACCCCAGAGTCCTAATATGCAAGGATTCGTCCCCTGACTTTTCCCCAAATAACTATCTTTAACAGAGGCTCCCTTAATCTTTGTTCATCTTTGCTGGTTTAAATAATGTTTTGACTTCCAATTTTAAATTTATAGATAGCAATTTTTGGCATCTTTGAAATGTCAATGTGTTCCTATGATATAGTGATATCACAGAGTTAAAATCACCCTGTAAACATTAACTATGGTAATCTGTTTGGAAGATTGCTAAAATCCAATAATTTAAGAATAGATAATTTGATGTTTTGCCTAAACACTTTTTTCTTTCATGCGTGTAACATCCACAATGACAGTTCTTTTGAAGATGTATTTGGCACAAAATGATTACTTACCTACTTTGTCTAAGATTAACTTGTTAAATTGCTTAGTCTACGTGAAAAAAGCGAGAGCTTTCAGATATGTCAGCCGATGTCTAAATCAATTTGCATTGTATAAAATTCTAAAATCAGAGGTAGTCAAGTTGTTGGTCCAATCATAGATTTTAAATAAAAAGATACACACACACACACACACATGCACATATCCATTATATATGTAATGTTTTATATATAAATATTTTAATATATGTTTTATATACATTTATGTTATCCCTCATATTATGAATACATAACATTCTTATATGTTTTATTGAGTCACCTGTACTTCACTTATATCAATTACTGATGGTTAATTTTCAAGAATTGGCTATGTATTTGAGTTTTTAAATTTTGTCTAAAGTATATGCTGGAGAAAGCTGTATTTTATCACACACACCTACAAATAAATTCTGTGTGTGTGTGTGTATGTGTGGTTTATGGTACAGCTGAACTGTAAGTACTGTAGCCATTTGATTGACTTTATATCATTTGAAAAAATATGATATAAATTAAGATGCAAAATTGAACTAATTAGGGTGACAGTATTTAGATCCCACCCTATGGGGGCTTGTGTAATAGTCAGAGGGGCTACATATGAGTATAGACAATGATTTTTTAATACTAAACAAGTATTAAAATATATCTGATTGCCACATGATCCTTCAGGCAATCATACATTTAAAAAATTAGACGTTGTAAACTTTCCCCATAGGCAGAACTGTCCAGATTTCAAGCTGTTGGACTTCAGAATTGTTTTCTCTTTGCAATATAAACATGCTTACTTCTCAGTTATTCTCATCTGCATACCAGTTGGATTATGCTATCTTTCTGGCAGAGGGTGCATTCTGTTGAAGGGTAATCCTGTTACACTGAGGGAAGGATAAAAATAAAGGTAAATAATTTCTTTATAATCCCAAATTGGTTTGCAGACAAAAGTAAATCTTGGACCAATTATATTTGCTTTGATTTCTTCTGTCCAGAGTCTCTAAATTTGTTTTCTAATACAAATATATATATTTTTTTCTGATACACAAATTTATACAAATAGTGGCAGTCTTTATAATTTTCTTTTAAATTTTTTCTATAGCTTATCATTCAACATATCTATTTTAGATCCATTTTCTCTAAGATACAAAAGTTCATCGACTTTAGTAGCTCTTGGACTTGAGAAAACACTCCACACTATTATTCTTTATTATATACACTTGGGTTATTGAGGGAGTTTTGAAAATATATAATAAAAGATACACATGAGAGAAATCCTCCTAATACAGCTTCCTTGCTTCCCTCCTTCTCCGCCTCTCTCCCTTCACTTAGTTTTTTTCTTCCCTCTTTTCTTCCTCCCTCCCCCCCTTCCTTCCTTCCTTCCTCCCTCCCCCCTTCCTTCCTTCCTTCCTTCCTTCCTTCCTTCCTTCCTTCCTTCCTTCCTTCCTTCCTTCCTTCCTTCTTTTTCCCACTATATACTGCCTATGTCTCTTATGTACCTACCTACTTACCCATTTTTTAATGTTACTTCAAAAGTAATTTCACTCTCATAAATTCTTATTTGACCCTTGGCAGTTACTGTTCACTTCATGCTCATAGTTTCTGCTGCTTGTACAAGAGCATCCATTCTATTTTCTTCGCTGCCTATGGATTGCTGCCATCACAATTGCAGTCTAATTGCCAGGTGAACAGCTTATAATGTATCACTATCAATACTCCAAATTTGCTTCCTAGCATGTGACATAAAGGATCCAAGTAAAACGCTGCAGATTTTCAGCAGGAAACTACAAACAATCATTTCACGTTGATGGTTTCAAATTCAAGGTCGATTTGCACTTTCATATATCTGCATTATTCTATCACTTTCACTCTCTTTTAACATTCACATTGAATTTATTCGGCGCGAGGCTATCCAAATGGCTGAAACTGAAGGCCAGTCAAGCTTGGAATATAAAACTGTGTCATTGTGTTTCAATGAGTGCATATCAGTTGTAATTTTTTTTTTTTATCCTCACCTGAGGACATTTCTCCATTTTTTGTTCAGATAGAGTGGGAGGGAGAGAGAGAGAGAGAAACATCGATGTGAAAGGGACACATTGAGTGGCTGCCACCTGCATGACCCAACCAGGGTCAGGGACAAACTGCAACCAGGGTACATGCCCCCAGCGGGAATTGAACCCGGGTCTCTCTGGACTGCAGGTTGACGCTCTACCGCTGAGCCAAACCAGCCAGGGCGGTAAATGAATTTTTTACAGATTTACACTGTAAAAGATCCAAGAGTATCATGAAGCAAAATAGATAGTAATGTTTTCTATTGTATTTTTGAAGGAAAAAAATTGATTGAGTGAAATGGTACCTTTTTTTCCTAACACTTATTGACATAGATATAATGGTAATTGTTATGCTTCCCATTCAGAATAGGTAAAGAAAATAGATACCAAATATTGAACTTTACAGGATATTCTTTTTTAAAAATATGTCTACTCTACTTTTAATCTACACAGGAAGGCGCTTTAGAAAATTTCATTGCCTTGATTTTTCTGCTTCTGTTCGTGTTCATTTGTCTAACAATTTTCAAGTCATACAATATTTGAATGTCTGGGTAAAATTCAGTTAGAGATTACATTTCAGCATTCTTGCCTGCATTACCTAATAAACAACATATTTCATTTACTCACAGGTAAATATATTTTTTAAAACATGACAAAACTAAAGTATAGGCAGGCTACTTAAATACTCTTTAAATATTTCACAAGTGTGAATGACATGCGGCGTGAAATATCACCGTATTTTTGTTCTGTCAAGAAACCAAACTTTCTAGAAAATGTTAATCTCATTGAAAATTATTTTATCCTAAAACCTTCTGAGATAAATCAAGTTGTGGTTTATTAATTTTTTTTCTATTCCGGAGAGGAAATTATTTATGTGTTTTAAATTTGAACTCATGTTATTTATGACTTTGAAAAGTAACTGTGTAAATGTATCAATGCTGTTAAATTTGCTGCTTCCTGCTTTGAATATCTTTCATGTGAGCATTTTTCTTCTTGTACATGACAGTATAAATTTGTGAGGATCCTCTTGCATCAATTAAATGTCAATCCCAAGGGTTCCTAAATCTATAGGGAATTCTATTTCCATCACAAAGAAGTAAATTGTAAATATCCCGTCTTGGAAAAAACAAAACAAAACAAAACAAAAAACGTTTCTGGTTTTAAAAGGATCATTTAACATTAAGGGGAACAGCTATTTGTAGATGAACAGGACAACTAAAAAGAGGTGGTTCAGCCTTATAGTTTAAAATACTGGGGTCATGGGGGTATGCAGATGTTGTCACAAGGAAGGCATTTTCTTTCATATTTTCTTGTTCAACATCTTTAAAATAAGGATAATTAAAGAATGTTTTATATAGATTCTCTATGTGCCTATTGGCAAAAGAGAAGCAAAAATTCTCACAGAAAATGTGATCATTTAGAATAGGAAATTGTGATTTGTCATTCATGGAACTATATCTGTTAGCTAAATCTGTTTGTACCCACTTACATCAACAACAAATATCTAACATGAAGAAAACTGATTACGTGATCCATACCCATATCTAATAAAATAGGAATGTGTATTTTTTGACAAGCTTATTCATAACACATTCTGATAGAAAATTCCATTGGTACTCTCAGTAGGAAAAAATAGGCTTTTAAAGGAAACCTTTTATTTTACGACTGTCGCTAAAATAACAATTACAAACAAAATAGGGATAAAACATTTTTTTAAGGAGCTTAGGACTTGTTACAGAAGTTTGCATTCCAGTTTTTGCCCTGTTGTTTGATATGAAAAAATTAATCCTGGTAATCCTTTTTGAAGTCAACTGTTTCCAGGATGGGTTATGCAGAACAAAGACTAACAGATATCCCCAGGAAATTAGTTTACAGTGATGTTCTATTCTACTGAGAATGATTCTCCAATGGCCACTTTTTCTTCTTCCCGGGCTATGGGAATTTGTTAATACCTAGAGAATAAATTTAAATAAAACCATTGTCTCAACCAGCGGGTTTATGCAACCATCCTGAAATGTTTTAATTATTGTTTTCCTTTCCTTTTTAATTAAGAGACCAGAGGTCAAGCAAGCCCACTGAGAGCTGAGCACAGTCTTGGTGGAAATGGAAAGGCAGCCCTAATGATCGGATTTGCTGTTTTCTCTCTCGTTCTACAGAACCAGAAGAGTGTGTTAATTGCACAGACGAATGCCGAGTGCTTGGTCATTCTGACAGGTGTTGGATGCCACAGTTCCCTGCAGCCAATCAGGCTGAAAACGCAGATTACCGCACAAATCTCTTTGTACCCACAGTTGAAGCTAATGTTGAGACTGAGACTTATGAAACTGTGAATCCCACTGGGAAAAAGACTTTTTGTACATTTGGAAAAGACAAGCGAGAGCACACTATTCTCATTGCCAATGTTAAACCTTATTTAAAAGCCAAACGTGCCCTGAGCCCTCTTCTCCAAGAGGTCCCCTCAGCATCAAGCAGCCCAACCAAGGCGTGCGTGGAGCCCTGCACCTCAACGAAAGGCTCTCAGGATGGCTGTGAAGCTAAACCAGGCGCCCTGGCCGAAGCAAGCAGCCAGTACTTGCCCACTGACAGTCAGTATCTGTCACCCAGTAAGCAACCCAGAGACCCTCCCTTCATGGCGTCCGATCAGATGGCAAGGGTCTTCGCAGATGTGCATTCTAGAGCCAGCCGCGATTCCAGCGAGATGGGGGCTGTCCTTGAGCAGCTCGACCACCCCAACAGGGATCTGGGCAGAGAGTCGGTGGATGCGGAGGAAGTTGTGAGAGAAATCGACAAGCTTTTGCAGGACTGCCGGGGAAATGACCCTGTGGCTGTGAGAAAGTGAGGGGGTGTGGGGGAGCATTGGCATTTTCTTGTCTCTTCTGTTGAGTTAAAAATGATCCCTCCTGGTGACAACCTGGTTTATAGAGACGAAGAGAGACCAATGCTGCTTTAAGGCTTTTCGTGAACATCTGAAGTGCCCACAAGTATGTTCTTTTCACTGCTATTTCTTTTACAGAGATAACTGGTTTTGTTTTGAACAGACTTATATTAGGACAGAATTAATGATGCGCAAAGAGGAAAGAAACACAAAGAAGAGAAAGGAGAGAAGAAAAAGGAGGATGAGGAGGCGAGTTACCTTGTGACAATCTGTTAGGAAGGTATGCGGTGCGAGAATGGAAGTATTTCTGATCACTCTAAGACTGTCCTCCGTGATTTATGCTGACTTCACTGTTTACCTATAAACCCCATACAGAGCAGGGTCGTAATTTGTGATCTGTGGTGGATTTCTAGCGATCATCACAGGCTTCTACTGAAAGTCCCGAAAAGACCTTGCAGTAGTCCAAGCTACACCAAACATTAACACATATTTGTGGTAAGCATTTCTGTATAAAGTTACCTGCCACACATATAAACACAAAGAACATTCCATATCATTAGTTGAAAAAATTTTTGAAAAATACTTGGTCATTTGTAAGACACCTCATGTCGTATAAAAGTTAAGTGTAAAAAGATAGTCCATTTTGTCCTGCACACACATAGACTAACTCACTTTATTAAAGAAAAAGAAAATTTAAAGTTTTAAAAATGCCTCTTCAGCATTTTAGTGTCCACCAAACATATAAATAATGATGGATATGTTTTTAATTTGACCTAAGAAGGTTCTGAAAAATAGTTAACATTGAGTAATACTATTCAGAGAAAATTAACATGATTAATGTGTTTTACTCATTTGTGGACACTAAAATAGCTCAGGAAACTGAAAATGTCTTAGACATACACAAATCACATGACCATTTATATGTGCAAATGTAAGAAGATTCAATGTGTTTACATCAAATGACATATTTTTATTGATTTATTGCAGATTCAGTGCATATGAGCCAAATTGTTGAGTGTATAAGAGCTATATTGTGTATTTTATTAAATTAATATATAGTTGTGTTGCAAAAATATTTGGGCTTATATTGTAAATGGCAAGTGTTGCCTCGGTAGCTGTCGAACTCTATGAGTTTTGTTTTTTCCTGCTTCCTTTTCCCCATGGAGTGTGGGAAGCAGTGCCTCAGAGCAAAGTCTCTTGTTTAATGTATAGTCTACCAAGTACTACAGTACATAATCTGTTCAAAATGTGTTTGAGTGAGCCGATGGAGCTATCTGAAAGGTCAAAAACTACATCTGTCAGTCATGGTTATGTGCAAGTCCTTGTAGAAGCTTTGATTAAAGTCATGCTAAATCACAAGAATTACATTTGTACCAATACCTGAAATTTCTTCATGTTTTCTCAATAGCCTACAGTTTCTGCCTCTGTAGATATCATACTGTTGATTGGTTCTCAAAAGTATCTTATGTGGTTCAAGATGTGTGTATCCATTTATTTCCAAACCATGACAAATGCTTTCATGCATGTGTGATATCAGCCCTGGTTATTTGCATTGTGTAGTGTTTTTCAAGAGATCTGCGTCTTAACAGAATGTTTTTCATTTTTCTCAATGTTCTTCTGCCTCCTTTCTTGGTGTCCTTTAAGAACAATACACCTTCTTTTCCTTCGTTGGGTTGGACCTTTTTCTTGTGTCATTTAGCAAGTTTCAAACTTACTTCCACGTGAGGCAAGGAGACCTCAAATTTCAGGAATTGGGAAAAATAAGATTAGCACTTGCAGAAGTAGCAGCAGATGGGAAAATGCTTTGATTGACGTTTTCCTTCAGTGTTAAAAATTTTTGGCATTTTATAGCTTCATGACAAACAGCTTCCAGCCCATACCTTAGAAAATGTGGTGCTGAGTTAAATAAAGTCTGTTTGTGCGCTGGAGCAGAAAAATGCATTATTTGCAAACTGGTGGAGAATTCTGTGCCTTCTTTCCTGGCCACAAAGCCAGTGTAGAAACAGGATAAATGTCATAAAATCCTTATATTAACAAAAACAAGAGCAAAAACAAACATTGAACTGAAATAAGTTTTGTCATTTTAAACCTCAACAAATTCAACTGAAAATATTTCCGTCAAATGCTGTCAAGATTTTAGAATGTACCTCGTTTGCAAAACTGCTTTGAAAGGAAGAGTGGACCACTCCCATCAGCCTTATTCTCTCGAGAACTGTATTTGGTTCCTAGTAACAGCCTTTCCAAAGCTCTACTCTTGGTTTTTATCATTTGTAAATGTTTAAATTAGAAAAGAAGGGATCTTGGACATGTGAAACCTAATTGACTCTCTATATTTTGGACAATTTATGTATCTGAAATGTGTTGTCTCTGTTATATGATGTCATTTTTTTTTTTTTCTTTTTTGCAGGGAGACCATAGGTTGATTTAGCTTGATAGCAGAAATTTGATGGATGTCCATTTAGTCTTACCACTCTCTCACTAGACAGATAGCCACTTAGTAAAATCTAAGGCAGTATGTAAATGAAATCAACAAGGAGAGTAGGGTTTATTTTTAAAACATTCTTAACTTTGAGTAACCAGTTGTTCAATTTAGTATATGTGTCTGAAGACATTAAAACACTATAAGATTTTAAGAATTGGTTTTGCCAATGTGTGAGGGATTTACCTTTAGGCTCTCTGTCACCAGTGATTTACTAGTGTTAGCTGTTTAACACGTTATCTGTATTTAGTAGTGATTATTTATTTACAAGTTGGTGGTAAATCAGCGGTCAGGACTCAAAGCTTTTATAGTTGAGTTGAGGGACTCACGCTTTTATTCATTTGGCTGGCAACTGCCTTTATCACAGACCTCTGGTGCTTGACTTCCAAGGAAGTCTATGAGATGCCAAAACACCCTTTTTGGGAGCAACTTGCTCTAAGGGGTGATACGTGATCAAACAGTGATGTTTCAGGGGGTTGCAGCATAATTCTGATTGTGAAAAAAAAATTGTCTTAATTCATATCCTCCATTTACTAACCCTTCAAAAAAGAAACCCCACACATTCAAAATAAATAATTTGATGATACCTTTTTTTAGGTCCTTAAATAACTGAAGTCAAGCACAGAATAAGAATTTATAGAAATTTTCCTAAGAAAGTCAAAGTTTTAAAAACTGTTTACTGATGAACTAAAAAAAAAAAATCAATAACAAAACAGTCTTTTCATTACATGTTAATGATGAAAGATCTTTCCATCAAAGTTAAAAGTAGTAAGAATCAGTGTTAGTTATACCTATACCAAAGTAAACATTAAAGAGACATTTCACACAATTTTAAACAATGCTTTTATATTATTTCTTAACCTGACACACTTACCCTTATTACAGGCAATATGCAAAGATTGGCTCACTACTCCATATGTTAACTGAATTCCTAGTTGGGAAACCGACTTGTTTTGTTTTCCGAAATTAGCTGAGATCTTGTAAAACATGGCTTCCCTTTAAAAGGCCTAGGCACTGCTTGATTTAAAAATGACACCGTGGAAATAAAGTCATGTACTAATAGAGCAGAATGCTTTATTAGAACCAGGTTAAACACTGTTTGTTGCCTAATGGAGTAGAAGTTGCTGAGGTCAGCAGGTAAACTGAGGTCTGGCATAATAATGCCCACTCATTATTGTCCAATTATATAATTTTATTTTGACAACAGACAGCATTCATCAGAGCACTAATTCAAATGACAGTTTTGGCTATCAACGTGTGTTGTTTTGAAATGTAATTGAATGAGACCTGATTAAAGTCTGACTTTCCTGGCCCCAGTGTTTTGCAGGTTGGCTATTCTCATATATCAACTCCATCACACCCTAAGGTTCTTAGCTGCACCATGTGATTGGTGAACAAGGACAACACAAATAAAAGCAGCATACATTGTATGGACTTATCTCAATGCTATTGTTTAATGGCTGTGTTTAATGTGACCTATCTGGAAAATGAGGACTCCGAATAAAAAGCTATTACTAATAGTGGCATTGCATTTCCTTGAATTCATTAAAACACAAGTGATGTGTTACACATAGCATATTACAGGGACCATGGTCAGAATGAATTTCGAAAGCAACTGTGACATCACAACAGTTTCTGCTAGTTATTTGTTTACCAGTAAAATAATATTTTTTAAAAAATTTTGGAACAGTAATGTCACTAGATTCTCTTGGACATGGGTTAACAATCATCCAGATAGTGTAAGTAAATTGACTAGTTAAATGATTACCAGGGAGTCCTAGCCTAATGATACTTGTGGTTTTTAATATTTATAATTGGTTTGAGGATTATTTGGTACAAGATCCTAAAAGACTTCAGAAAAGTTATTTTTATAAAGACCTTCAATAATCTTACATGATTTATGAAAGCACATATTTATAAATGGCATTTTAAAGTAAAGACATGTTTTTCATGGCAACTTAAAATAATAAGCTTCTCTTTCTACTCATTCAACAAACATCTACTGCATTTCTATTGTGTGTCTGCCCTGGGCTGTTATGTCCCAGGAGTAAATAGCAAACAAGGAATGATGCCTGGAGTCACAGTCTGGTGATAGAAAAAAATAGGTAAGTCTTAATACACATTATTGTTTATGAATTGGATTTAGTTGTTTGCATTTTCCTCAGTTACTCCTCATATCTCACTCAGTGAGGGGCATCTCCTAAATTCCAAATCAACCTAATAGTCTGCCCATTTAGATATTTTCTTTTAATTTTACTTTTCTTCTGAAAGCACAACTTGTATCAAGAAAAGTGCATGGCCTTTTCATATTTAACATCTTTATGTTTTAGAGTTACTAGGATAGACTAAATGGCTTATCTACTCAGTCTTTTGCTCATTTATTTGTTGAGTTCTGTTTCTTTTTCATTGAGCCTCAGTCAAGTTTCAGGTGCTGTAAAAGGATCCTAAGGTACAAGAACTAAACCAGTTCCATTTTACCCTCAGAGTACTTAAAGTTTGTGCCTAGGTGATATCCACCAAATAGGAATTGACCTTATGGTGCATGACATTGTTACTTTTTCATAATGAAAAAGATTTTATTCTTAGGAAGAGCAAAAACCACATGCCTGCCATGCCATTCACTGCTTTCAAGCGTGACAAGAGCGTGCTGTTCATTGACTCCACCCAGTCGTTCAGATGGAGAGCCCTACCTGGCCATGCTCCAATCCGGAGGAAGTGAT